ACTCAATGATCTCAAAGGGCTTTTCCAACCTGGGCAATTGTGTGTCCTCCATGTTTTGGGGACCCTGTCCCCTCCTGCAGGCTGCACTGCTCTCCCATTACCCGCCTGCTGTGTTAGCTTGTGCTTCCACCTCACCAGGCTAATTAGCACAGGGCAAAGGGAGACCTGGTGTAAAGGAAGCATCTTGGAGGTTAAGACCAGCGAGGTCTCAGTTTGCATGGGGTGAACTGTGTGCTGTCCTAAGCTGGCGTCGCTGCTGCCCTGGGCAGGCAGATGGGGAAGCACCTCCAAGGCGGAGCGAGGTGGATACCAGAGTGAACTGGCTGAGGGAGGCTCAGATGAGTGGAGAAATCTTGCCTGAAATAACTTTACTTTTTAAAGCATCCTTAGGCATGTGAGGAATCCGGATCATGAGGAAGGAGGCAGAGATCCAGCATCTGGTGGCAGAGGGTGTTAGTGTGTTCCCAGCTGCACTCCCGCTGAGCGCAGTGATGCTGTGTGGGCAACACCAGGAGCGTTTCTGTTAGAGCTGGTAAAGCCTAAGGCTGGCTGTGCCTCTGGGGAACCTCAGGGATGATTTTTTCCCCCAGAAGATGGAAGAAGAAATGGTTTTGCCTTCCCATAGGCTTTCATGTGAGCGTAGGAGTGCAGGGCGGCTAGTCAGGCTGGGATCCCAGTGGGAAGAGCTCGTGTTGGGCACCCGCTCCATCTGCAAGGGCCAACTCAGGTACCGGCAGTGTTCCCGGGGGCTTACGGAAAGGGCCCCTGTCAAATTAATTGCAGGGATGGCTCATATGGGTGATAAATAATCTCATGGTGGTAGGTTGGGGTCTCTGAGGGGATTTGATACACCAGGTACGTGATGTGACCAACAGGTGAGAGAATCTCTGGGCTGAATTCCGAGTGGGTCAGGATTGATCTGGCTTCTGGTACACAGCAGCGTTTTCTTTTTTTGCTGGGGCTTGTGCTTGGTCCTGTGCTGGTTACTGTGTCTTGTGACTTGGATGAAACCCAAGTGAGCGCTGTTTGCCACAACTTTTGAGCTCTTCATGGCTTCCCCTACACTCTGGCCCAACCACACTCTGCCAGCAGATGTGCTCTGATGGAGCAGGAGTTGCATCGGGGACCAAAGGGTGTGAGCAGGATGGGGGATGTGGGATGGAGCCAGCTGGTGAAGAGGCTGGGGAGGTTCGGGGAGCCCCAGGGTGATGCTGCAGTGGGGCTGTGGGTGCTCAGCCAGGGCAGGGAGGCTGTGCTGACCTGGGTGCTGGACCCGTGTCCTCTGCTGAAGGCAGATGCTGATCTGTACAGATAAGGTAGCAATTTGGAGAACAGGAGTTGGGGCTGCCAGCCCTGTGTTTGAGCTGCTCGGTGCATCTCAGAGGTGTCTGGTGCTGTCTGGGTGACGGTGTGGATGGCAGGAACCTGATGGAGCAGTTGTGGCTGGAGCGGGTTGAGGCAGCACCCTGCCCTCGTTCTCTGCCTTGAGGGTTTTCCTTATCCCTGGCAGCACTGGGCTGGGTGCTGGATGCTTCCAGGTGGTGCCCCTGGATCCAGGATCCAAACCCCCGCAGCTCCCCCTCCCTTGCAGAGGAGGGTCGTCTGGTTTGTGCTGCTTGAGACTCCTTGCCGAGGTGTGTGCCTGAGCCCTGGTGGCAGGCAGGGATGTGACTGACAGCACTGACAGCTCCCTGCCCCCTTCCAAGTGTCACTGAAAGGTCCCAGGGTTGTCACTGGGCCTTGGGGCAGCTTTTGTGTGCCCAGGACTGATCTGCTCGTCCAGTGCTGGGCTCTGCTTGAGCCCCATCGCTCAACTGTGGCCTCCCCTCACAGGGCACCATGAGCTCCAGGGCTGGTAGTGGATTTGGAGGCTGTTTGGGTGGGTGGCAGCTGGGAGATCTGGTGAGCACGAGGCCACGCTGCTGGGAATGTGTTGCCATCAGTCCTGGTGGTTTCCCAGGCCCTTCTGACGGGTACTCTTTGGCTGCAGACATGCTACGGGCAAAGCTCAGCATGGAAACTTCCTGGTGGCCATCAAGCAGGAGAAGGGAGAGTCGGCACGGACGAGCGGTGAGAAGCCGCACGGCGAGGAGGAGGTGAGCTCCAGTGCCCACACCCCTCCCCACACAGTCCCCAGGAGTGGGGTCTGTGTTGCCCAGCCTTGGCCTGTCCCTCCACTTGCACTTCAGCAGCCCAGGCCCAGACCTTCCCCTGAGGGACAGGAGGCCCAGGCAGGTCTGCAGTCTGCTCCTGTGTCGTGCCAGCACGATGGCATCACGTGCTCTGATCCGTGATGGGTTGTCCCTTTCCCTTTGCTGGATTCCAGCCGGTGAAGAAGAGGGGCTGGCCCAAGGGCAAGAAGAGGAAGAAGATCCTTCCCAATGGCCCTAAAGCCCCTGTGACAGGCTACGTGCGTTTCCTGAATGAGCGGCGCGAGCAGATCCGCACGCAGCATCCTGACCTGCCCTTCCCAGAGATCACCAAGATGCTGGGGGCTGAATGGAGCAAGCTGCAGCTCTCAGAGAAGCAGGTACCGGCCCCCAGGAGAGACCCCCCAGGGTTAGGCAGCATCTCCAGAGCCTCCATCCCAAACCCATCTGCTTGCTGCCTGGCCGCAGCTCCGCAGAGGGAGCTTGTCCCAGTAGTGATGGGCTGGTGAGCAGGAGTTGGGCCTCGAGTAGTGGAGAGGGGTCGGCAGTCCCCAGGGAGCCTGGGGCTGGGCCAGGCTGAGGATCCTCTGTGACCATAGCGGTACCTGGATGAAGCGGAGCGGGAGAAGCAGCAGTACATGAAGGAGCTGCGGGAATACCAGCAGTCAGAGGCCTACAAGATGTGCACGGAGAAGATCCAGGAGAAAAAGATCAAAAAAGGTGGGTTGTGGGAGCAGTGGCTGCCAGCATCGCTGCCAGTATCTGGCCAAGTGCTGACAG